AGGTAGAGAGTCTAATCCGCCACCATATCAACTACATCACTAAGCTCGAGTTTCTGCCAGCGTTTAAGGTAGCGTTCGATCGATCCTTCACGCCAGCCAATATCTGCTCTGCCTTCCGTGGCGCAGGCCTTGTTCCTCTCCAACCAGACGCTGTTCTATCAAAGCTTGATATAAAGCTCCGTACGCCTACTCCACCAGCTGTTCTAGAGGCTCTATGGCAGGCTCGTACGCCTAGCAACACACGTGAGCTTGAAGCTCAATCGACGTTAATACGCGATCGCGTTCAGCGGCACCAAGGCTCATCACCAGCTTCAATTATTGCAGCAATTGACTAGCTTAAGAAGGGGGCAGAGGTAATGATACTCTCGGCTGAGCTAATGCGCGATCGGATCACCAGCCTTGAGAGAGCTAATGCAGCAGCAACGAAGCGTAGGCAGCGTAAAAAAAGCGAATACAGAAGCAAGGAGTGCTAACAAAGGGAGCTGGAGAGGATCTACTTGCTCAGCGTGAGGCTGATCAGCAGATTGCTCATGAAGAGCGTCAAGGAGGAGAGCGATCAGGTGCTAGTCGCCAGGCTCTTGCGCGCTGTAGTAGGTGTAGAGAGACTGGCCATAATGCGCGTACATGCAAGAAAGATACTATAGGTACTACTTAATCTACTATCTTAATACATATCAAGATAGTTACATTGTGGTGGCACTATACGCTTATAGAGGTGCGTAGGTTTGGTGGGTGCGCGACTCGCTTGCCTGCGCGACTCGCTTATCCATCACGTTACCGTAATCAACACCCAGCTTCGGCACTTTCATTCGTCTCCAAACAGCCTATTTGAGCGGAAACACAGGATAACCAAAGAAAAATTAAGCTCAAGGGACTTTGATACGCGGACCGTCTCGTACATATGATGCAGAAACGAGACGCACAGATGGGAGGAAGGGTGGGCACGGTGGTTTTTTGCTGCAATGAGTAACTGTGGATTGTAGGCGCTTATCTTGGCCTTGAGGAAGTTTCCTCTTCGAGAAAGTCGTGGAATATAGGGCGCGTGCTTGGTAGTAACATAGGAAAGCTTGTCTCTCTGATGGTTTCGTTTTGGGGGGTGAGCATGGGGGACGACACACGTACGTGGAGGAAAAGGGACTTGACTGCTTTTCCACTTGCACCGCGTGACGGGAATAAAGTTTTGGGGGAATCAAAAGTAGATTAAATTCGGTCTTGTGGCTGGTGTTTCTCTTTCTCTCTCTGGCTTTCTGCTCTCAAAGATTAACAAGGCGGTTCGTGGGAAATAGTCTCGTGTACGGGCGTGCACGGTGTGTATGACGAAACAACGATAAAAAACCCGACTATCGTCAAATCTATTGTGTTTTTACCCAAAGGAGTAGGTGTGGAAAAGAGGCTCATGGCTTGTCAGACTTGGCTTCTCACCAAATACCAAAAAGCGGACAAAGCGTTTTTTGTGAGCAGTTTACTGCGTCAGGCAGGTGTGGAAAATAGGCGTACAGAGCCTCTTTCGTTGCGTAGTCATGCTAGCGGAGCCTGTGACGATTGGTATCCATGTTGTGACGATCATGTTGCTTTTTCGCTGCATCATGACATGGCATATGTGACGTTGGACATTGGTCGGGACAATGTTATCAAATTCTCCGACTTGACTAGCGGGATGGCTTCTGAACTTATCGGGGAATTTTGAGTGCATCTTTTGCCATCTGACATGTGCAAGTGTCATGAATACGTACATACATTTTTTTGTAGATGGAACATCCGAAGTACTGCAATACTACGTATGAATAAATGAGTAACTATATGTATGTGTGTATGTATATATGTCATCTGCAGAAAATAGATGAAAAAAAGCCACGGAATCAGCACCATCCCCAGCATACACCGCAAGACATTCATTGCAGCAGCCACGTCTCACGCGGGTGATACACGTCAACTCGCGCCGCCCAAAAACAAAAGCACGGTGTACACCTTGGCTTACCCAGAATGGCAACCATGAAAAGTAGGCGTATTCCTTCGCTTTATCTTGCATATTTTCGGCCAGCACTTCCAGCCCTAAATTAACCCATTCCACCCAATCTCTGAAAAAAGAAACCGAGAAAAAACCAAAAAAGAAAGGACCAAGCGGAAAGAAGAAGGGAAGAGCACGGTTGCTGGTTACATCTTCGGGAAGTCTTGGCTTCCACAAGTGGAGGGCAAAGGAAAAAAAATGACACACGTACCCCGAAAACCAAGATCAATCTAAAAAGGCAAACCCTCAAAGATCCCTAAATACCAAGCTTTGCTTCATGTTTAACCAGGAAGAGTAAAAGTAGAGCAAAATACGAAAGAAAAGGCTTGGTGATTATACTGGATTGAGTAGGCATCGAAAATAGGCGTGTAGCTTCTCCTCATTCAAAACATGGCTACCCCCTCCCTCCACTCCCCGATCTCAACTACCCGCGCCCGCTCTACCTTCCCCTCATCCGATGAGTCCGTCAAAAGTTTTTTTTTCGCCTTTTGTCCCGAGGCAATGATGCTGTGGTTATCCCATCGTTAACACAGTGAAACACGAAGTTGCGTAGGCTCTCCGAGGATGTACTGTCGTTACGCAGGTACTTGGTGGCGGTTACTTCACATGGCGCAATGTACTCGATATGCAGTTAGGCGCATATTTGCTTCCGTACCTCAACACGTGCATTCAACATCCACACATCCAACCCCCTTAGATCCCCCTCCTTTACACACACACACATACACACAATAAGTAGAATAGAATTAGTAGAAACCAAAAACAAAAAAAAACAAAACAAAAAAACTACAACTACAACTCCCCAAAATGTCCCTCCCATCCCGCCGCCACACCTTCCCCTCGTATCTACTACCCAAATCACGAAACACACCCGCACTCACCCACACACCCTGGCCTCACTACTCTCAACTCTTACCACCCAAGACACCCAAAACCTACCAAATCCAGTAACCCATCGAAAACAGGTGCACGTCTTGTGTACTCTTGGAACAAAGCTTGTCTCTCCTCCCTCACGAATAGGAAGCGCGCGGAGGGAGGGACCTGAGCGCACGACGGTCAGAGTTGAGGGTTTGAGCCGTCTTGTCTTCTTGTCTATTTTACCAATTGACAAGGAATATGCTGCATACCCCTGGTTGGGAAGTACAAGGGGGGGCGATATCGTGGGTCCCCGGTGAGAGAGAGAGAGAGGGAGGAGAGAGGGGGGTCATGACGTATGTAGCGTGAATGTAGGGTGAGGGATCCGGGCCGATGAGGCATCAGCAGGTTTTACGAGGTCGTCGGTATGTAAAATTGAGCCGAGTAGTGATGGTGGTAGGGAAAATATTGCAACATTGCACACGCGAGGGAGTCGCAGGGAAAGAAAGAGAGAGAAAGAGGGGAGATGATGATACTGTTTCGTTTGGAACCAAAGGTCATGTACGTATAACGAAGATCTAAATAGAAAACTCCATACCCTCCCAAATGCCCCCCTTGACAACAACCCCGTATTTCTCGAACGTAAAGCATGGAGAAAAGTGATTGTTATGGTTCAACCTATCAGAAAAAGAGAAAATAAAAACGCCTGAGCTATGCAAAAAAAAAGATGGTCGTTCTACGAATTCACCCCAAAAAAACTAACAAATGTTATTTAGTAAAGAGAAAAAAAGAGGAGAGAAGTCTCAAAGCTCGTCGCGGGTGGGAATACGAATTTCCCAAGTTTTGGGACCGGGAACAAAGCCCATCCACCAATTGTACGCGCGGCGCATCTCAAGGATAAAGATCTTGGTACTATTTTTTTCCCATTTTTGTTAGCATGCCATTTTTCCTGATACAAACACGCCCTCATCACCGCGTGCGTGGGGATGGATATATAACTTACAATCGCCCTGGAATCTGCGTCCATTGGTATAGTATATAGTAAACGGTGCGCTTCACGAGGTTAAACTCTGCCTTGACTTCATCCCACGCCGACATGTTCCTTGCATCCCAATCGCGTTGGAATGAGGGAATTTCCTCATCACCGGTAAGCACATTGATGGGCTTCGCCTCATCGGCTTCTTCGAGTGCGAGCTTCGTTTTCAAGACGCCCGAGTCGGTCTCGGGGACCGCGGATGTAGCGCCCTTGGCTACACCTTCTCGCTCGTCAATCATGCGTCGGAACTCTTTGATCGCGGATAGAGAGTGCGAAAGGCGGTTCATGGTGTTGACGAGGGCGACGAGCTCGGTGCGGCGAAGCGGCGGGTCCTTGGAAGAGTCGTGCTCGTCAAACTCGAAAAGCACCTTGAGCGCTGTTCCGTAGCCGTTGGTCTGGAGCTTACCCCAGAGACGGCACTTGTCGCAGCCAACGCAATCCATGATTCTGCTTACATTCCTGAAGCGGTTACGGAAGTCCTCCTTCAAGGCCACAGTGTCAGGATCCTGGAACATGACTGTCTCGTCGAAAATCTCGGGACCAGAGGGGAGCGCCGAAGCAAGACGAAGGACAGAGTTCTTGGTGCGGAGATCTTGCTCAGGGTCCTCGGAACAGAAGGAGTAGTCGGAAATGTGCTGTCTGATCTTACCGACTGCACGCATGACGAGGGCATAGTTGAAGTAGACATTGGAGATGCGCTCCGGGTGGTTATGGAGGCGCTCTTCATAGCATGTCAGGTTAGGTCCCCACTGACCGGTCTTCTGGTCAAGGTAGTCCCAGCACAAGTGCGTAGATATGGACGCGTGCATGCCCGAGATGACACGATGGAAGACGCGCTTCTCCAGGCAGGTATCGTCGAATTCAACAGGGTCAAGGCTGTTCACCGGTGATCCATGAGCAATAGCAGACTGGAACTTTTGCTTTTGGCCCTGCTCTTGGATGACGTTTCGGAGCTGGTTAGCCGCTTGCATCTGCTGTTGGTTCCCAAAGGCGCCAAAAGGTGAGTTGGGTGGAGACGACCCGCCGGTTGCTGGTGCATTCTTCGGGGGCTTGCTAAAGCAGTTTTCGCGGTATATAGCCTCCCAGACCTGCTGAGCTCCTACGCCTGCGTATCCGGTGAAACGTTCTGGGTTGTCTACGAGCGAGACGTAATCGCCCTTGGCAGTCGCCGACTCATCATCTGGTATACAGTAGTCGCGCTCGTCGCATTCATCGTCGTACTCCACCACACAGCTCTCGTCCACGTCCTCCCCCAGTTCTCCCTGTAGCGGCCGCTTGGGCTCTTCCCTCTGCTGCTTCTTCCCCGGATGTTGTGCCGTCGGTCCCTCAAGTTTGCCCAGCTCCTTTGCGCGCCAAACCAGCGGTATGTCCTCCTCATTGTCTAGCGTATTGACCGCGCATGCCACGTTCCCGCACATGCCATTCTCGTCGTCCCAGAAAGGGCATTTCTTGCTGTACAGGCTTAACCGGTAATGTGAGAAGAAGTCGGTGTTTTGGGTAATGGATTGGAGGTAGGGCTGTATGGCGTCGTTTAGCTGCTCGAGGGTGCTGTAGCTTGCGCAAGCGTCTGATACTATGGCTCCAGGCGATATCTGGAATGTAGATTTAGCACTCTGGCCTTGGGCTCGAGTCGGTGTACATGAAGACGGATTGCTTACGTCGCAAACGTTTGGAGGAGGACTATGCGCCTTTGAAGGCGCAGCATGGTCTACAGCGTGCGTACTACCCAACAGCGCAAAGACTGTCAGGTAGAAGACGTGCGCCGCTGAGCGCATTGTGGTGTAACTGCGGTTGTACTACTAGTCCTCCGGTCAGCAAACGTTTGCAACAAGTGTCTCCGCGACGTGTGTAGATGCCAAACTTACAATTAACAGTATCCCGAGTATATGAGGCCCCCCGGGAAATTAGCGGCCGATGAATCGTGTGGGGAATGCGAAGAGGCCAGCGTGTAGGTATCAAAGAGGGTGATTATCCCAGCGAGGATCCTGGTTGTGGCGGTGCAGGTTATGCTCTGTTTGGGAATTTCAGACTCGAAGCAGATTAAATCTCGACCAGACACCGATCTTGGCCCGAAACCCACAAAAGAGTGGAAGAGCCAGACACAGAAGGAGCGAGTATAATATATTAAACCCATACCCCGGCTTATGGTTTCTAATCACACGTTGATGGGGCCACTACAGCTTGTAGCAATGTGGCCTATTACTTAGCAGAGTGTGGCGGTGGACCCTGATGGACCCTTGCAGGTACCCAGAGGGGCCAAAGAGGTGAGGCAAGACGGACCATTCTTTGTCCACCGCTGCTTGGATGAAACAGCAAATATCAAACGCACCAACACACGCACAAAACAATAAGAGATAACAGATTGTTCTACTCCGCCTGCGTCGTCCTCTCCAAACCATGACCGAAACTACACAGCAACCCACTGGTAGTTGGACCGACGCCTTCCCCGCTCCCCGTATCACTGCGCCCGCCATATCACGCGATAAGGTCTTGTCAGATCTCTCGTCTCCCGATCTCCTCATCGTAGATGTGCGGCGCACCGACTATGAAGGTGGCACGATAAGAGGAAGCATCAACCTGCCTGCACATTCGTTTTACCTGAACAGGGGTGTCTTATACGATCTGTGCAGGCGCGCGGGCGTCAGCAGAGTTGCTTTTTACTGCGGTGAGTCTATCATTTTCGTCTCACCGTGATGCTTGCATGGGAAAAAAGGCGCGAGTGGCGTGAGATGCATACCACCTTGAAGCCTGCCTTGCTGAAATACGAATACATACGTGTGCACAAATTGTAGACAATGTCGGCTGAGACACGCCAGGGTCATCTAACGGAAGAGGGCCAAGATGTTCGGGTTGGTTCGCAGATTACATTACCGAAAGGGGCGATGACCAAATCAAGTCGTTGACATTGGCTGGTGGCATCAAAGGTTGGGTCAAGGCTGGCGAGCCTTTTACGCAGAACATGGACGCCTTCGAACCAGAGTATTGGAAGCAATTCGACTAAGATTTACGAAAATAATTGCGGGGTATCAGTAGTAGGATTAGTTACTCTACCAGGTAAGAAGTTGGCGCTATACAGAATCACTGCGTATCTACATTATCTCCAACCACAAACCAACAAGTGCCCGTCATATAAGTTTCTTCATTCATCGTCTGTATCATCATCGATTATCCGTCTAGCCCTCTTCCTGGGAAAGATAGGCTCATCGTCCTCTAGTTCAGAAGCCGAATCTACGACGACCAATTGCTTCCTGCTCGCACCTGCCACAGGTTTAGCGAGCGGTGCGTCGTCATCGCTATCACTACTGACAACCGCGTCATCGTCCGAAGCGTCGCTTGTAAAGATCTTCTGTCGTTTTGGGGTCCTCTTGGGTCGACCGGCCTTGACAACTGCCTGTGTTCCTGCCCCGAGGCCAGAAAGGTCAAGACTGGGTAGACTCGAAGTTGGAGCTACCTCCTCTTCATCTCCTTCAACAATAAAGCTGGCAAGCTCAGAGTCTAACAAATATGCCTGCGTATCTTGTGGCTCATCCTCACCCAACGTATCGTCAGATCCAATCGTATCAGCTTGAGATGCAATATGGAATCGAGGGTCTGTTGGCGGTGGAGAAGATTCATTACCCTCTTGAGCGAGTCCAGATACACGCCAATTAGGCGTCTTTGTCCTCGGGGTTTCACCATCCGCTATAGACTGATGAACAGGTGTTTGTGTGACAACACCAACTTTCTGTGGCCGACCACGAGGTGCTGGAGTTTGTGGTGTCTTCAGGACCACATTCTCTTTCGATCTTGGCAAAGGTTTCTCTTTTGGCTTCGGCGTCGCTTTCTCTTTCGGTTTTGGTATCGCCTTCTCCTTCGGCTTTGCTGGCGCACTTGCTTTTGGTTTTGGCACAGATTTTGCCTTTTTCTTAAGCCCTTGGGATGCGGGTTGATCATCTTCCCACATGTCGTCGTCAATGACAAGTGCGGGTTCTGGTTCCGGAACAACAAGACCGTCCTCAATGTCTGATTCGCAGTCGGAAAAGTGTAAGTTGAGTTTGAAACTATCAAGACGATTGTGGTCCATGTTGTGCATACGTTGCATCATGGAAGCAAATGCTCGCGTAGCATAGCCTGGGCCAACCCGGCGAGCTGAGTAGGGCAAGATTCGCTGTCGTTCAGGGTATTTCCCTAAGTCAAGTACATCGACCATAGGAGCGTCGTCGTCGTCGAATACCGTCTGGTATCTTCTTTCAAGATCTTGGGTTGCTTCATCGCTGAGAAGTACCGACTCCAATGGAGGTATTATGAATGGCTCCTCACTTGGATAACTAGGTGCCGCCGCTTTCTTCCCACGGCCTTTTGGCACAATTTCCTCGTCCATCCGACCTGCAGTGACGAAGCCAGTGATCACGTTGTCGGGCATATGAAACTTCTTCTCCGGCTTCTTGGCGCGTCGTCCTTTCTTCGGTTCTGGAAGCCAGTCTCGTTGTGAATTCTCAACTGGTATATCTACGACACGCCGGTCGACAACGGGCTTTACATCCGCCGGCAGGATTCTGCGAGATATGTCGTCGTGGAAGCTGAAATGAGTGCCCGCAGCAATGAGCTCTTGCATCTTGAGGTAACTGTCGTTTGCCTTGTTGGCATCGTTCTCTTCCTTCCCTTGCATTTGAAGCATGACAATTCTTCCCTCGCGTTTTCTTCCCGTACGACCCATTCGTTGTAGCATACGGATAGGCGATGCTTTCGAGTCGTAGCAAATAATGAGATCTACCTCACCAATATCAAGACCCTCTTCGCCAATTGAGGTAGCAATGAGTGTGTTGAATTCACCATTCTTAAATCTCTCAATAGCCTCCAATTGGTCTTTCTGCTTCATACCTTCCGAATTTTTCCCGTGTGCTTGTCCGACAAAGATGCGTGGGCGAATCATTGGCTCGTGTCTCTTCAGAATGCGCGCAATTTCTTCAGCACTGTCACGGAAATGTGCAAACACCATGATCCTCGTTTGTGAAGAGGCTGCACCATTGACGCCCTGACCGTCGTCTGCATTGACAAAGTGGTCCAACACGACTTGCTGCAGATACTCTAACTTTGGATGGCCAACAAAGTTCTCATTGTCTATCCACACTTGAAGACGTCCCATGAGCTTCTTCCAGGCATCACTGTCGAGAATCTGTTTCTTGTATTTTGACTTTGTCTTTGCACTTTCGTCTTGAAATTCCTTCATCTTGATATAGAAAGGACCTACACCATGAAATTTCAATAGATCCATTCCGTGCGAGATGGACGCAAGAATTGCAAAAATTGTGTGCACAGTGCTTTGGAGGCCTCGATTTGCGTTACGTCCGGCTTCTTGGAACCACTTCTTCTTGGCTTGTTGGCAGCCATAGGGTGTTAGATCGCGGGGGTCCTTGCTCCAGTATGCATTCAACCCAGCAATTGTGTTCACCAAGGGCTGCAGAGCCTCGCTGTAGAGGTCCATACACATCTCCATCTCGTCCGTATTCTGAAAAACCTGCTTGTCGATCTTGCGCTGATGTACGTAGCTGCATATGTCCATAGAGTTCTCCGTCCGAATCTCCACCTTGGAAATGTCGAGGCCGTCAATGACCTTCTGCACTGACTCCACATCTGCGCCAGGCGTGGCTGTCAGTGCCAAGACGCGGAAGCTATTATTGAAACGTCGGAGGAAGCTAACGACTTCGACATACGCATATGCACCCGTGGCTCGGTGAGCTTCATCGACCACCAGTAGCACAATCTTTTTTGGATCTGCATATCCAGCCTTCAAATCATTCAAAAGCGTCTGCGGTGTCATGAAGAACACTCTCTTTTCCTTCCACTCTTCGGCTCTTAAGCCTGTTTGGACGCCTCCCGTGAGCATTGTGGTGTATGAGCGGGGTATACCTGCAATCTTGAAGCAGGCTTCAACTTGCTGGGCTACCAGAGGTTTGGTGGGGGCGACAAAGACGATCTGAGAGTCGATCGTCCATCGGAACCAGTTGAGAATAATAGTCGCCGCGATAAAGGTCTTACCAAGACCAGTAGGGAGAGCGACCAATAGATTATTAAAGAGGCCTCTTTGAACAATGTTGAACTGATAGTCTCGAATGGTACCCAGATTTGTCGGATAAACCCATGTTCTGATGGCTTCTGGGTCCAGCTTGTGGTGAGTTGGAGGCTCTGCTTTCTGGTCAACGACGAAGTTGTAACGCTTGTTTACCTGAGACTGCGATGTACTATCGCTGGCGCCAACAGATCCAAACAGCGTTGTCTGTCGTAGGCCTGTCTGAGGTGCCACAGGACGCTTGCGAGCACTGGCAGTTTCAGGCTCAACTTGCTTCTGCGGGGACGAGGACGAAGAAGCGAATGCATCAGACGGAAGGTCTGCTAGGTCTTGTGTAAAGTCATACTCAGCAATCACAGTACCCCCCGTACGTTCTGCTAGAACTGGTAATCGAGGAGACTCGTCAATGTCGATAGTCGAATCGAATAGATCTGGAGATGGTGGTGCTTGTGGTGCTGGTCGAGATGATATCGACTTTCTACCCAGCAGAGAAACGGTTTTGGTTGCATCTAATTCGGACCCCTTGGCTGGCCCGGGCGGTTTGTGTACACCTATAGTGGTGGGTTGCTTTGCCCATATTGCACCTCTTGGCTTCCAGGGTGGCGAGTGTTCCTGTGGCGGCTGCGTGTAGAAGACGTCTGGCAGATCTATGTTTGTAGTTGGGATGTGAATGCGTTCCTGCCGCTTATTGGCTGATGTGGATTTTGTAGGTGATGCAGAATCTGTTTCAGAAATGTCATTTTCGCAAGATCTCGATGTCGCTTTTTTCCTACGGCTCGAGGGAGCGGCTTTTTGAGGGGGCGACAGGTTTGGGCTGTCTGGTTCGGACAATGCATGGCCATCTTCTTCACTGCTGCCCTCGCCCTCATCAGAAGACACAAAAGGGCCTTTCCGGCGGCTGATTTGTGCTCTGGTAGAACTGGATGCTGCTCGCTTGGTCGCACTGCTAACCCTTTGC